GTGGGATGGGAGTTGAGAGGGCTGGCTGGTGGGGGGTGGAAGGGAGGGGACACAAAAAATAAACCCATGTGGGGAGAGGGAGAGAAGGAAAAGAGTATCCCTGGGGCCAGGGCCAATGACTGGGTTTTCCCAGTCCCAGAGCTGTACAGGTGAAGTATACAGAAGTTCCATGCACCAGTTTGACCTAAATTGAATTAATCTAATACTACACAATTGAATTAATCTAATACTACACAGATCCAGGTTTATCTTAAACTGGGTTCTGCAATTTTCAGGCCGGTTTGTGTGCATGGAACTTCTGCACAAGTGTAAGGTTGGCACCAGGACAAGCTAAGTTTAAATCAGGCAACTGGGTTTAAATCAGGCAATTCTTAACCCAATTTCACCTCCCCAAATGTCTGTGGTTAGCCTTACGGGTTTGGCTCTCTCATCATACTGAAGATCAAAAACAGATTTGAGTTGTCTAGTCACATATAGGTTCTTTCAGGTAAAACAGACTTGATATATCATATGTTCCTAACTATAAAAGGCAAACAGCAGATGGAGGGACATGTATTGAACACTCAAGACCCTTTACTTTACAATCTTTTATACTAATTGCATTTTATTGGTGGGGGGGAGGAGGGGAATATACATTTTATGTAATTATCCTCATATAAAGGTGCCTTCTATCTGTATTGCTGATCCCTATAAACACCTATAATAGTCACAGCAATTCAAAAACTCAGCATAAACAACAACTAAATCAGCACATACCCCAATTTTTGTTTTAAACTTTTCCTGCCATTCAGCTCATCCTTTTACAATGTGAAAAAGGAAATGGTCAGTAAAAGGTTCCAGAGTTAACATTTGTCTGAGATGAATGAGAAATATTTGCATGCTCTGAGAAGAAACATTATTTTAGAGAGACACTCTGATCTACACACAGTTTTTGTACCACATCAACCTATGCTCTTTTAGATCCTCATAACATTATATTAGTCCAACTCCCTGATGTGGGCATAATTCAGTGTAACGGGGTTTATGTTTCAGAATGGCATCTAAAATAGTGGGCTGTAACACTGTGTATACGCCTGGAAACCAATTAATAAAAGATGGAATTACAGTTATACATAGAAAAGCCTTCAGAAAAACTGTACTGCATCTGTATGAGTCTGCTGTGGAAACAGCATCACCGCAACGGTAATTAGAAACTTTATTTCTAAGCCAGAGGTGTTATTAATCAGCCGGAGTTCCCGACTGCCTTGCTTCTCACAAGTGACAAAGCCACAGATGAATCATGTAGGTCCAGCCAAATGATTAATGCACAGATGTGGAGGAGGCATTTGGGGGGGAGAGGGAGGGAGGAGGGGGTGTCCTCAAGCATGTACATGATTTAGGTATGCAAGAAACCAGAAGCCAGTTTCAAATTCTTCAGCCACATCTAACCCTGAGCAGAACATGCAGCAGACATTTCCTTCCCCATCTGCAGGAGGATCCAGCATGCTTCCCTGTGTTGGCTCATGCCAGAGCGTGGTATGTATGAAAATGACCCTGTCTCTGTTGCACCAAATGCCTAAGAGGACATGAGGAGGGGAGGACCCAAGGGATGACAGCTACCTCTTGCATATGCAGTGGAGAGAAGGTAGGTTTTCACCCTTCCCATTCCTCCTGGTATTTCTGCAAGGATCAACCATAAACTGGTTGCTGTAGGTCTGACTGCTAGAGATGCACATTTCTTGTCAATTTGGCCTTATTTTCTTACTTGTAATTGGACAGCAATAGAAAAGAATCAGTGAATGGGCAGCACTTGTTTTACTTTATCAAACAGTCAATTTGCTCGGAGATGCAGAGGTTAGTCTAGGCCAGGGGTTGGCAACCCCTGGCACGCGTGCTGAGCATGGCACATGAGGGCAATTTGCTTGGCATGCCATGGCCAGCCCTGGGTAGCTGCTGCCAGCGACGGAGCCCAGGCTGCTCCCAGCAGGCCTTGCAGCGTCCCAGCTGCTTGCTGGGAGCAGCCCGGGCTCCCAGCTGGCAGCAGCTACTCAGAGCCAGAGCCGGCTGCAGCCGGGAGGCTCCGAACAGCTGTGCTGGGCTCCAGAGCCCCAGCATCAACTCTGTACTGGTGCATGCACCCATGTGTCAGAGCGGGCGATGGGGGAGGGGCCCAAGGCAGCGCAGCCCCGGTCTCTCCTCCGCTTCTGGCACAGAGGCGATGGCAGGGTTCTGGAGTCCGGCGCAGCTGTTTGAAGCCAGCCTGGGCTCTGGGCAGCAGCAGCAGGCAGGCTGCAAACAGCTGCGCCAGGCTCCACAGCTCCAGCATCAGCTCCATGCTGGCGGCGACTTCACAGGCACCTCGGGGTGGGTTGCACTGTCCCGCTGTCCGCTCTGAGGTGTGCACGCAGTTGCCGCCAGCACAGAGCTGATGCCAGAACTGTGGTGCTTAACACAGCTGTTTGGAGCCTCCCGGCTGCAGCTAGACCCGGCTCTGGGTAGCTGCTGCCAGTCGGGAGCCCAGGCTGCTCCCAGCAGGCAGCTGGAACGCTGCAAGCCCTGCTGAGAGCAGCCCGGGCTCCAGCAGCTACCCAGAGCCAGGGTAGCTGCTGACAGCCACAGAGCCCGGGCTGAGGGGCAGGGGTTTTGGGTGGGGGGCAAGGGGCAGTAGGCCTGTGGCGCGGGGGCTTTGAGTGGGGGGCAAGGGGCACAAGCAGGGCATCCTGCCATGTACCTCTTGCCCTCATTTTGTTTTTCTGGAATGCCGGCACTCCGGCACCTTCCAAGGTAGCCATTGTGGTGTTTTTCGGCACTCTGGCCAAAAAACGTTGCCTACCTCTGGCCTAGGCTGTGTAGATTGAACTGATAACTTAAGCAAGTGAAAAGACATTCACTTTTGATTCTGGAAATGCAGCCACATGCCTGCAGCAGCCCAGTCCAGAACCTGGGGTGCACTTAAATGTCTCCCTGCTTGGCTAGAGCAGACAGCTTGGGCCAAGGCTAGCCTGTCCACTCTGGGGGCATGCAGGGGAGATGCATAGCATCCTGGGACGTTGAGGGACTATGAGTTAACTTGAGTCTGATTGGGGTCGGGGACAGAAGTGCAATAAACTGATTTAACCTAAATCAGTTAAGTCTGATACTACACCCATCCAGTTTCATCTTAAACCAGTTTCATCCATTTTGAAAGTGATTTAAGTGCATTGAACTTCTGTTGTGTTACAGATCTGAACTGGTTTCTGTTCACTTACACCAGTTTATGTGTAATTTCTGTCCCTAGCCTGAATGTGCCTCGCCAAGGGCTCTCACCCTCTCCCGTGAACCTCCAGCTGCTTCCATGAACTGCTGGCTTCATCTCCACAGGAAGCTTTTACAGTCCTGGGATGCAGAAGCCTAAGTGCACTGGGGTGAGGAAGGGGTCAGGTTACAGTCACTACTTGTAGGCAAGGCTGGGTGGCAAAAACACTTAATTTCCCTCTCTAAAATCATAGGCACCCCACCAAACACTGGCTTTTACAAAAAGCCCTTCTTAACTTGAGTAGGAGTAAAGCTCCTCTTTGGGAAGGCCATGGATTCCTCATCAGCACTCCCCAACAGCCAGTCTCACTTCAAGACCATTCATCCATGTACTAAAGCCCCTATTCTCTCGACATTCTTCCACGTACCAAAGCAGCCACCCCAGACCACCAGAGCTACGACAAGTCCAGAGGAAGGGGTGGGGTTGGGGGCAGTCCCGTCCCATCCCATCCCACCCCACCCCACCCTACCCCACCCCCCTGGCG